CTCATTAAGGTGTGTCATCATGGCCATGTCCTCAATCTTATCAAACTTGGGTGGGTTCATAGGGAAGATTTCATCTTCCTTCACTGTTACAACCTGTGACGGTAAGAAAGACACCTTCATTAAGAAATATATGAAGTTAGAACCTGCTCTCTATATTGCTTCTGCAATGTAAAGTACATTAAAAAGCTCATCAGTGGACAATCTAAATAAAATGTGCCAACGATGCCTATAAATCTCCAGTATAGAGATACATGGAGCAGATGTACCTGTCCTGACTGAGTTTTAACAGTCGCCTTGCCACCCTCTTTGCTTTGAAATGTGCCTTTAACAAAGAGCTCCTTTGGATCCACCACAAACACTGCAGTTTTGGCATCAAAGGGCCTGTTCTGAGCTTCAATCCTCTCTCGTTCGGGTCTCCTCAGATATGGAGCGGCCTCCCCAAAAACAGCCATGTCAGCGTCTGAACTCATCTCTGCAGTGTACACCCCAGGGGACTAAAACATCCAGGGTTAATGTTAGAATTCATCTATTAATGAATTTGATCATCATCCTGATCAAATCTTACCCCAGAAAATCAGCGTATGGCTCCTTCTAGAGACACCTGAATCAAAGCTCCTGCTGGTTAAGTCAGTAGCCGTCACAGCCAAAAGACAATGAAGCAGAAAAAAGTACGAAGCGTTGGCGCTTACTGCTTTTATAAGATGCATTAGCATAGACAGCAAACAACTATATTTAGGTCAAATCCCCCATTGAACGTGGGTGGAGGAAAGTGACTAGCTTGGCATGTGATGTCATGCAGATGGTGCTGAGCTTTTGTTATAAATCCGTGCCGTGGAGCAACTGCAGCTCAAGAAAAGAATGAATGCCAAAGGAGGGTGACCTCTGCCAGAGATACAGCTCACACAGATGATAAACTTTCCAAGTGTTTGTTATCTTGGGCACTGATCTCCAAGATTATAACTGGATTTGACATTAAGGATGTGTCTAGACTTAAAAGCAGCTATTGAACAATTTAAGCTCAAAGAATGCATTTGTAAGCCAGTAATAGTTGGTGGTACACAAAGTTATTAAACGCAAAGCAGTCACTGCTCAAGTCTAATCTCATTACTGAAAATCATGTGAATTTTGATTTTATTTTACAACTGGAATGTCTATGTGCAATACACTACAATAATGCAAAGAAACCCCAACAATCAAATGACCCCCTATGAGCAAGCACTTGGTGACAGCAGGAAAGAAAACCTCCAGCAGAACCAGGCTCAAGCCGCAATCTGCAAGTATAAGCATCGCCTGCTACTTACTACTACTCTTTATTCTTCTTAATTCATATGGAAGCAGTGAGGGTTACTTTTTTAAAATTAAATAAATAATGAGATGGTGTAAAATGTTTTGCTAATCTGAGGTTGTATTTATCTAATATTAAGACATGATAAGGACCAAATGATTTTTATTATGTCCTTATGAATAAAAAAAAGTTGGTGTCGTTTGTTTTTTTTCTGTATCCAATTCAAGACATTAAGAGTAAAATACTGTAAGCTAACTTTTTACTTATGTGAAATTTTAAAATGGATTTGGCACTGCTCATTAGAACACATAGCTGACTGAAAGATCTGTCATTTTCTACGGTTTCTATTGTGTGTGTGTGTGTTTGTGTGTGTATTAATTTTCCAGTTTCAGAAGAACATGAGTGTGGTATCACAAATATTCTCACAAATAAAGTCATGAAACAATTACATAAAAAATGTGAAACTGTGTTTTACAGGGTTTTATTTTATGTCCTGATTTACTTACATTCCTACATATTTCAAAAATTCATATGGTGAATACACTTCATATGTCATGGCAAGGATTTCTGTCTTCACAGCAATGTAACAAAATGCATTTTTCACTTATCTCCAAAGCTTATTGTTTTGAAATGTACCATTAATGGTGCGCGGTGACACTTCTGATAGTCATGACAGGCTTATAAATAAAGTCATAGCTGATAAAGCCCTCAATAGAAATTCCTCCAGGATCCTTCTGGGATGGCTTTAGAGATCACAGTGGACTAGCGGTCACATTAGAGAATCTGAGGCTTCTTTTTTTCCTGTCCCAAAGAATCTTGTCTGAGGGACACTTGATGACAGATGCAACAGAAACAAAAAAAACAACCCAATGTCACTTTAGTGCAGAAAGAGGTTGCCTTAGCTTTAAAACGTTTTTGTTAAACCTTGATAGTACATTAAAAAATGCAAAAAAGTTTTCAATGACATTTTATTGGCTATTAAAAAAACCTCATGAAAAATATGTCAATTCTGGCTGAGATCAGAGGGCATACAGTGGAGGATATAATTCTTCAATCTCCTGCTAAATTTCTGCTTTTGCTCACAAAGAAATGAATAGTCTCTCATTTTTATGGTAGTTTCATTTTAATGGAGAGAGACAGGATAGCAAGCACAATTGAGAAAAAACACATGACATAAATGTTATAAACTACATGAAGAACTACAAGTTCTTTGTCGTCAACTTGACCCGCTGTGTTTGGGGGAAGAGAAATGCTGAGTATGACCTAAAGAACAATATCCCCACAGTCAAGCACGGAGATGGAAACTTCCTTTGAGTCTTTTTTCTGTTAAAGATACAGGATGATTTCATCACATCAATCTTACAGAGAATCTATGGAGGGAGCTCCCAAGAGGCAACCAAGAAAACTAAAAGATTTAGAGTTTCTGTAAAGAGAAGTGTCCCAAAACCCCTCATGAGATGTGCACCAATCTAGTGACAAACTACCGCTGTGCTTGCCAACAAGGATTTCTCCACAAGTCATCTTTTGCTTGGGCATGCAAATCAATGTATAACTTTTATTTTTAACTAAGTTGTGCTGGGCAACTTTATCTACATTAGATATATCAACATTTTAACATTATTGGTATAATAATAACAGATGGTGCCAGGTGTTTAATCATGCCCAGGAAACAGGTCATAATAAATGGTAAATGGCCTGCATTTGTATAGCGCTTTTCTAGTCCATAGGACCCCAAAGCACTTTACACTACATTCAGTCATTCACACACACACTGGCGATAGCAAGCTACATTGTAGCCACAGCTGCCCTGGGGCACACTGACAGAGGCGAGGCTGCCGGACACAGGCGGCACCGGGCCCTCTGACCACCACCAGTAGGCAAACACGGGGTTAGTATCTTGCCCAAGGATATTTGGCATGCAGCCAGGATGCAGCCTGGGATCGAACCACCGACCTTCTGATTAGTGGCTGACCTGCTCTGCCACCTGAGCTACAGCCACCCCATAATAGGCTGTTAAACTGTCACTTATTTTAAAAACCAGTGACAGCGTCATGAGAGAGAGATTAAATGGATATAAATTGACAAGTGAGGTGCTAAATCTCGAACAAGCAGCCAGTGAACACAGGTATTAGCTGCCCCTATGCACTGTTTCAGGAATTAATCAGGAGTGAGATATTCTTAGGAACTGTCCTCAAAGGGACAATGATGCCACAGAGATTATCACCACGGCCACAAACTGCCTTTCATTTATCTTTATTATGTATGTTATTGAATACCTGCTTCAGAAATTTTAAACGGCACCTTATGTTGAGTCACAGAGGGAACAGCTGAACACAGTGGATTACAACCAGAGTTCATTCTAATCTTTAATGCAACAGATGGCAAAATCTCAGAGCTTATGAGTTAATGTCAAAACAAGTTCAAGTTGTCTAAATAAAGAGCTGCAAAGGAGAGGTCATTAAGGTTATTATGTTGGTGTCATTTGATGGACATACTGATTTGCCAAGATATCAAGAAAAATGTTTTTTCATGAATCATTTATTGAAATGCTGTGAATTTTTTTTTTGATTGTGTGGTCATAAAAAAGCCCTTTGGAGCTTTGAAGCAGATTTTAAAAGAGCAAAACTGAACTAAGTTTGACACAATTTATTAAAATGTTAAACAAATTTCTTCCAGTCAGAGAATGCTGCATATAATTGAATTTTTGCTTGATGCATAAAGTTAAAAGATTAAAACTATTAAAACTAGTTTTATTAGATTTATTCAGGTTGTAAATCATGTTTTTAAAAAGTAACTAAGTACTTTAGAAAATTAGTAATCAGTAAAGCAACGGGATTGCTTTTGGGGGGAAGTAATCGGTAATTAGTTACTGATTACTTTTTCAAGTAACTTGACCAACACTGGTAGTTTGTAATACCTCATACCCTTCCACTGAGATTATTGTTGACGAATAGCTTTCAGTGCAGTAGCTCTCACATGCTGTGTCAAGCCCCTTTTCTGTCACTTTACAACATGACTGTCACACACTGTTGATGTTCTGTAGTTTTTTAGGCCTGCCACTTCTTCTTTCGTCCAGTTTTTAAGGTATATTTGTTGGCTAATAGCCCCTTGGGAATTACCTTGCTCATACAAAAATACTATATATATCTGTCAAGGTGTGATCTTTGACATTTTTCATAGATTCAATTAAATGGGTCCCAGTCATGTATTTTTGCCACAAGTAACAAAGTACCTGAATACATCATTTAAAAATGGTTCTTTGCGAAGTTATCTGTTAACTGACTTGAAAACTCTTCAAACCAATTAAAGGAAGAAAGTCCAATCCTGTGGAATTAAAATATAAAGAAATAAGGGGTGGCTCACCATGTTTACTGCTAGAATAACACCCTCCAAAATAGACTGAACTACATTGAATACACTCGTTGCTTTTCATTATGGAGAAGTGGGGAACTTGGCTTTAAAGTTTAATAGAGTAGAGATAAAAAGCTACTATCACATTTTAAAAAAACCCATAGTAACTTACAACGTATTCTCCAAAATAAACATTTTTAGCTTGGAAAAAAAATCGGAGTCAGACGGGCGCCCTCTTGTGGCTGCGTCCGTCCAGTACACAAATGAACATCAATACTGCGCAAGAGTCTTCTCAGGCAAGAGCGCGCCTGGGTCTTTAGCTCGCGTGACCGACGGTTGTCATAGCAACTGTAAACTAGTAGGCTAAAAGAGCAGGTGCAGGATTTTCCCCGTTTTTGGCGCTTCTGTTTCAACTAAAACTACAACACAGTCGTTCAGAAACTGACAGAAACATGTCGGACGTAGGATCTGAGGAGTTCGAGGATGAACAAAATAAACTCGGGGTGAGAGAATATAATTATCGTGTTAAGTTTGTTTGCTGCCGACGATGAACTAAAGCTAATGGTAAAACCCTATTTTGTTTTTACCCGAGCAGGAGTATGAAGGAGGCAGAAACGAAGCTGGAGAAAGGCACGGATTCGGGAAAGCTATTCTGCCCAACGGAGACATTTATCAGGGAGACTATCAGAACGGGAGAAGACACGGACAGGTAGGACGTTTGAGCTGGACCCCTGCAGTCCAAAGCACAGAACATTCTGCATGTATGTGCATATCAGCACATAAAGACATTATCCTTTAGATATAGAAAAAGCTGCTAAATTAGACAACAGTGTGGACAGTGCGTGAGAACATTAAGCAGTTTAAAGCAGTCTTACCCTCTAATTACAATTTTATTTAAATATTTAGTCCCAAAGAAAATTCTTAATATTTCACGCTTTTCCCTGATGCTACTCAGGTAAGGACTAATATATATTTAAATATAACTGCTTTCTCCACTAGGGGACATATCGCTTCAAGAATGGGGCGAGATATGTAGGGAACTACCAGCAGAACATGAAACATGGACAGGGAACCTTCTACTATCCCGATGGGTCCAAATATGAAGGTATAACAAATGTGCTTTACATGAGTGTGTTGTGTACTTCTACCAATCAAAATTATTTTTATACAGTCCTGAGAAAGTTTTTAAAGCCAGCTGAAGCTCTGATGTTGGTTTCTGTAAGCAAAACTCTTACTACTGCCTCTTCTGACTGCCAGGGTCGTGGGTTGAGGGTATGAGACAAGGTCACGGTGTCTACACCTACCCCAACAAAGACACCTATGATGGAGAGTGGCTGCAAAATTTGAGGTATGTCACAAGAAATGCAATCACAATTGCTTGTAACAACTTGTAATGCCAGAAGGAGTCAGGGTTTATATTATATATACACTTTTTTATGTTTAGATAATTTACTTTGATTCAACAGTATTAATACTCTAGAGAGCAGGACTTTTTTCATGTTGAAATGTAGTCCCAGAAATGCTGTCACATGTCTTTAACTTCTGAGATGTTTGAACTTTTTTTTGCACCAACATGCTTTTACTTTGAAGTTAGCTGTAACTAGATATGTTAAAAGCTCCTTGAATCTTTGCTGTTTTTGTGATTTCCAGGCACGGACAGGGCATTTACCACTACCAAGAAACTGGCTCTAAGTTCAAGGGCACTTGGGTGAACGGCAAGATGGAGTCAGCTGGAGAGTACCTCCATACTAACCACAGATTCATGGGCAACTTTATCAACAACTATGTAAGTTTTATTTTTATAACATTCTCACAAATTGGTCAGTGATCGATCAAAATACTGAATATGTTTTAATGCAGCCTGTGCATGGTGTGAAAAGTGACAATAGCCAAAATGATTATCATGATTTTTGTGATCACTGTTAAGTTATGTGTTATTTGTCATCACTATTCATTGTTTTTAGTGACATAAATGTTTTTATGACACCGTCCTCCTTATTCCCCTAAATTCAGAGCATCGTTCACTCTTTTCATTGCACCTGTGTGTATATTTACCGTATGTGAGGGGACGACATCATTTGTCCAGTGAGTTAACCATTTTCCTGGAGGCTTCATTAGTCACCGTGCTTTGTGGGGATTTTAGTTAGTTTTTTTAGTTAGTTAGTCGGTTTGATGGACTGTACTCTTTTACTGTACTTCTATTTAGCAGAATTAGATTAATATATGTATGTATGTATATATATATATAAACTATTAAATTATGGTGTGCTTTAGCTATAGTAAATTATCTCCAGCTATCTCCATGATTTAACCGTTCTATAGAGTTTGAAGTATGTTTTAATGCAGAACATTTGTACTTCAGCGTAAGTCTAATTTTACAGAATGTATGTATACTGTAGCATTATTACTTTGATATAAGTAGAGGCTTTAGGATAGGTGCGTCTTCTATAGAGCCCTCAGAATCGCTTCATTCATCACATAATCAAAAGGTCAAAGTGTTGTAAAAAGAATTTTTAAGGAAAAACAAAAAACTCATTTTTCTGTTTTTAACCACAAAGAAAGTTACATTATGCGGCTCCATTCTTGCCTTGTGTATTGTTTTGTTTAGTTTTTTGCCCCACTGTTCCAAAATGACATAGATTGGTGTTTTCAGTGTCAATCAACAGAAACAACAATCAGTTCTTATATCATTGTGGTCTGTGTCATTGTAAATGAGGATGAGTCTGTGCCTCTCTCCCTTATTATCTTCGGTTTTAATTTTGTAGCCGCTTGGCCCGGGGAAGTATGTGTTTGACATCGGCTGTGAGCAGCATGGAGAATACCAGAAAGCAGAGCAGGTAAATCCACTCGATTCACTTGAACAGAAACACGGTGATGTTAAATATTTGCCCCCTTCCTGAGCTACTATTTTTTTTCACACATTCAGATCATCGAACAAGTATCAGACAAAGCTAGCCCACATACCAACAAAATGCACTTTTTTAATGATTTCATTTATTAAGGGGAAAAAAGTCACGAGATAGAGCATTAAGGTCAGCTGATCACAGCTTCTGGTTGTTCTGAGACGCAGACTAAAGGCGATCGTGGCTCAAGAGTTGGCAGTTCGTCTTGTAATCGGAAGGCTGGTGGTTCGAGCCCCGACTTGGACAGTCTTGGTTGTCGTGTCCTTGGGCAAGACACTTCACCTACTGGTGTTGGCCAGAGTGGCCGATCAGTCTGGCCCAGAGCAGCTGTGGCTACAACTGTAGCTGCCTCCACCAGTGTGTGAGAGTGAATGAATTGTAAAAGCACTTTGAGGGACTCGAAAAGCGCTATATAAATGCAATCCATTATTATTAAAGCACAGAGGAGATCAGGCCTTTGCTGTAGTTGCACATACACTTTTGAACAGTCTGTCTCTTCAAATCAGGACCTCACCAACACTTCTTTAAATTGTCTTTAAAACCTGCTTGAAGAAGCATATTTACATGCTTGCATTTAAATGTGAATTAGTTTTTGATACTTTTCTTTCACTTTGTTTTTTGTTTGTTTTGTTCTTTCTGGTTTGCTCTGAGTTATTATTTTTAGTCATACAGAAATTTGGTCAGCCCTTGTTGTTTTTAAATCTGCTTATAATCAAATTGACTTGAGTGGCTGTGTGCTGGCTGCAGATGTGCCTTGTGTTTGCAGATGTTGTCATGCTCAGCTCACTCTACAGATAGTCATGCTGCTATTTGTGGAAACACAGAAATATGTCTGCATTCTGACTGAATTACATGCCAAAGTGTGTTCTTAGAGCATTTTCTATCTGTAGGATTCATCCTGTCCTCTCTCCAGCCTTTGCAGGACAGAGCTGAGGGTGAGTGGGATGCCACTGTCCTCAAATGGATTCCCAAATGTGTCACAGGCCTAACAACAGAAACTCCTGGGAAAGAGACTTCAGGTGAAATTCAACAGTGACGTGCAAGCCATGATTGTAAAACTACTGTCTGATAGCAGAACCCCATACAGAAGGTTACTCTTGCAACCCTAGAGATTTTGAATTTGAAAACACTGAAAATGTTAAAACTTTAAAAAATGTTCAGTAAAAGGCTAAAATTTTTATAAATAATTGTCAATATACTTGTTTTAGGGCTACACAATTAATAAAAAGTTAATTTTGATAATGATTTTTGCATGGGCAAGCATGATTGATTGATACTTAAATGTATGCTTCACCAGTTAAAATGCAAAAGCAAAAGCAAATCAGTTGCTCCCTAAATCAGTGCTGGACCATCCGCTTGTGCAGATCATAGTTTTTCCCTGCACTTTCCTGGACTAATGTAGACGACTAACATTATGTTAAAAGAATTTAAAAATCACCAAAATTGAAATTTCCTTCACATTATGAGCTTGTGCCTCCAAGAGGATCACCTGGAACAGCCTTGTTGATTTTAATTTTGCATTAAGTTTTGGTATATATTTTTTTTTCTTGATGCAAATAAGGAAGACGAGTTTTATTTTGATGCGGACACAGATGTGAGCATGTGAAAGCAGTGCTAGAAATAATAAATAATAAATGAATAATCGGGACCAATAAAAATGAAGATGGCTTAACAAACCAAAGGGTGACATCATAAATCATCAAGAACATAGGTCCTTAGAATGGAAGGGGGTAATTTCATGTTTGTGACATTTCCGTTGTGGTAAGCAGATCAAAACTCAACTAAGGGGGCAGCGGTGGTGGAAGGTGTATTGATCCGTTATGCTGTTTAGTAAAAAGTACTAATACCTCACTGAAAATACATCACTGTTTGTAAAAGTCCTCAAATTGAGATTGTTTTAGCTTGATTTAAATTGACATAAAGGTTTGGCCATAAACCTCAATGAACTGAAACAACGCCGTAAAGAAGAGTGCTTCAGAAAGATGCAAGAGACTAATGACGTTATACAGAAATCACTTCAAGTTATTGCTGCTAAAAGGTGGTTTTACAAGCTGTTGAATCACAGGATGTATTTAATTTTTACAACTGCTTCTGTATTTTGGTGTACATTTGTTTAATAAACATTTACACTGTGTAATATATCATATGTTGTTGTTCATCTGAGGTATATTTACTAAGGACTTCCTCATCTATATAGCTTTCAGAAGAATATTTCATTTTTTTATTAATCTTTTGAGTATACTTGCAGTTCTGCTGAAAGACAGAACTGTTCTCTCTAACATTTAAAAGAAAAAAGAATACAAGTTTTTGTCTGTTGTCTTTGCTTTATACTATTTTAGATTAAACCTTCTCCTTCATTATAGTCTTATAGCTATGTCAATTTTGTTGAAAAACAAAACAAACAACACCCCCCAAACTACTGTATAGCCTTGTTGGAATAAATACCTGAGTGGAGGTAAGATGGAAAAGATGTTTTTGATTCATGCACTGTCAAGTGAAAGTTAGAGCAAAATTGTAAACATGCTGGGAACTCAAACACTATATATTTTAATACATTAATGGAGACCTTTGTTGCAGGGGTAGCATAGGTAAATGAATGTTTCTTTATATTCTCTATAAAATTAATACATTTGTCTTTAAATTTCTCTACAAATCTAGAAAAATAAACCAAAAGAAAAATGTAGTATTCTCACCTATGAAATAAAATATACAATTTATGAGTAGTTTATAAAGCCAGTTTCCACATTTTCACTTCACGTGTGCTGCGATGAGTCAGTTTCGCTTTCAGCATTATTTCGAAGGATGCCGGAAGTTGTTTTGTTGCCGTCAGTTTCGGTTACGCGCTGGCTGCTGCGCTGTCATTCTAGACAACGGAAGAAATTCTGGCAGGCAGTCAGCATGTGAGGGGGTGGACAGGATACCTGCGTGGAGTCGGTATTTTCATCTTCCTCGGTAGATATAAGGGGCGCACTCAAGCTGATCCGAAGACAACACCAAGAATGGACGACTGTCGTCAGCAAACGCTGCTGTTTACGTTCGGCGTGATAGCTGACATTCAGTACGCAGACATCGACGACGGCTACAATTACACTCGGACTCGTAGGCGATACTACCGAAGCGGTCTCCAGCTCTTGAGAAATGCTCGGAAAAGTTGGTCGGAATCAGCTGTCAAGCCAGCATTTATTCTCCAGCTGGGAGATATTATCGACGGCTTTAACAAGCCCAAGGACGCCTCGGAGCGCGCGCTGGACACCGTGCTGAGAGAGCTGAGCTCCTGCCCCGCGGAGGTGTATCATGTATGGGGAAACCACGAGTTTTATAACTTCAGCAGGAGCGCGCTGCTGCGTTCAAAGCTCAACAGCACGCTCCACACTGACAGGAGCATGAGCACTGCCCCGGCCGGCTCCGGCATATATGCTTACAGTTTCAGCCCTTTCCCCGGGTTTACATTTGTTGTCCTGGATGCCTATGATGTGAGCCTGCTGGGAAGAGAGAAGGCCAGTGAACAATATGTCGATGCTATGAATTTGATAAAGCAGTATAACAAAAACGAAGATCTCAACTGCCCTCCAGGTATGCTTTACTGATAATTACAACATTAATAAAACAAATGTAATTACATTAGCCCAGATATCAAGTAACAGGAATATGCATGTACACAGTACAACATGCAGTAATATGTATTTAGTTTATTTATCGCCTTCCTTAAACAACTGACAATTCTTAGATGAAAATGTAATTTATACCAGTGAAGGGATCCAGTAGGACAGTTATGTGTTTTAGTAGCATAATTTGTAAATGAGGACCAAAGGACAAAAAACAGGTTTTATGGATTTACACTTGTTATTGACTAAACTAGCTTGCGACCCACCAACTGAGTTGATGATGGTTTGTGTTTTTGTTTCAGCATTTAACAATCTCACGCAGAGATTCACAATGTTCAATGGTGGGTTCAGTAAGGACCAGCTGGACTGGTTAGACTCTCTTCTATCATCAGCTGATGAGAAACAAGAAAAGGTCACAATTGTCAGTAAGTAAAACTTTTAAATACGTTCACTGGACACCTTGCTAGTACAGGACCAAGATTTGCCTTAATTTCTCACAGCATAGGTGCTGAAACCTTCCTACGAGATTTCAGTCCATATTAAGATAAGAGCTTCATGCAGTTGCTGCAGCTTTGTCAGCAAAATGTCTGTGATGGGACTCTCCTGTTCCACCACATCCCGAAAGAGCTATATCTGAGTTCAGTAAACTAACTGGCATGTTCCAGAAAGTAGTTTGAGATGATTTGAGCTTTGTGACATGGCACATTATCTTGCATTATCTTCTACTGTCCAGTTTTAATGAGCTCATGCAAACTGGAGCCCTAGTTTCCTGCTCTTAGCAGGAATGGTTCCTGGTGTGGTCTTCTGCTGCTGCAGTCAGTTTCCTTGGTTCTAGGTTTGCAAACTGCATCCAGCACAGAACCAAGAGCATTGCTAACAAAACACCAGCCCTTTGCAAGCATCTGAACAAACAGCATGCTAACACAAAGGTAGCCAACAACCCAAAGTGAACGTATGCTGATCCCAGCTCAGCTTGATCAGAGCCTGATCTTCAACATTCCAGTGCTTCTAGTACAATTTAAAAGAACACATGTGTTTTTATTTTTCCTCCTTTATCCAGGTCACCTCCCCATCCACCCAGACTGCACAGACACCATTTGCCTCGCATGGAACTTTGAAGAGCTCCTGGCCGTCATACGCTCCCACACCAGTGTGGTGTGTTACATGGCGGGACACGCCCACGACGGTGGATACTGCCAAGACGAAGATACAGGAGTGCACCACCTGACGGTTGATGGGGTGATTGAGACACCACCTGACAGCAATGCATTCGCCACAGTCTCTGTATATGGAGACAGGATGGAGCTGAAAGGATACGGGAGTATCACAGATCGAGTGTTTCTGTTTCCATCCAGACAAAAGGACACATACTGTAATTAAAGAATCACAACTTTATCACTTCTGTCTTGAAAAAGAATTATTGAAGAATTATTTCTTGTGTGAGTCCAGTCCACCAGTTAGTTAGTGATACACCTAGGAACTAATTTAGAATTTTTTTGAAAGTGTCCTTTTGTGTTTAATCACACCTGGAGCTGTGATGGAACTGTTTGGATTTTGAGAAATGTTCTTCAGACTGGGAACTTGAAGGATGTTTCGCTGAGGAAGTGGGAATATTATGAGTACACCTTACAAGAAGATAGTGTTCTCGCTGCTTTCCACTTTACAGCACTGAGCTTTTTAAGTTATTTTCAAATGGAAAAACACTGACAAATTAGGAACTATTTAAGGGATTGTAATATGATAATATGAAAACAGCAGCATACTTTACAAATACAGTAGCTCAGATATTGTATTGACACTTATGTTGTTTTTTAATTTATGACAGCGTGTGAATGATAACACACCAAATTGGTGACAACACTTGATTGAAAGTGTTTGATTAAGACTGTATGAAATAAAGTGAAAATAAAAACCTATCTATGCTCAGTGGATACATTAAATGCTACTGTTTCTTGCATTGTGTGATGTGTTCAAGTTAGTGGTAAATTAAAAATTGAGACTTAAGTTATCCATCATGGGGTGGAGTTATATAAATATAATGATGTGATAGCAGGCTCCAGTGTATGGTATGGTATTTCCATATACATTGTCGATTACCTATTTAACCATCTCTTCCTTCACACTGAAAGCCTAAAGAGCCTGATGGTAGAACCAGTTCCATTGTGGAACAAGAGTACCACCTAGGGGAGAAAAAAACGACACTTTTATTGCAAAGCAAAGTTTTAATGTGTTTTTTGATTTGACTGCTGGTTCTACATATGCAGTTTTTACCCCTCAGATGTAAAAGGCTAAATCTACCCGACATGTTATGTAGCTACTCATTTTGGCCCTCATATTAATCCTGAAATTTTACCATGTACAGATGCGTACTAATACTTGTGTTTCTTCATTAGAGCAGTATTTCTTAAAATGGGATACTTTGGAGGACTGCGGCGGCACAAGGATTATTATTTTACGTTTTATAAATTTGCGTCATGCAGAGTGCCTAAATTATTAATAAATTAGTTTGTTTAATAAGAAAATCGAAGTTAACATGTTTTATAAGTTCTGTATTTGTTATAAGCTCTCCCCAAAGGAGAAAGTAACACATGCAATCAAAATGAAGGAGCCAGTTTCCCATACTGATCACCGATGATTTGTGGTTAACATGTAGCAGCAGTCCAGAAACAGAAAAAGTAGAGGTGCATTTGTTTTACAAAAAAGGGATGAGAAAAAAGCTTGACCACTACATTTGCCTCACTGCCACAAACACAAGCCCTTGTTTCTTGAGTATCTCATCATAAATACTCAATTTGGCGTAACCATTGTCTCTGTTGTTTTGGTATAAATGTAGTTATGGAGTTGAACTCCAGTTATGGAGTGTAGCATTTTTAGCTTAGACTGTAATAACACTGGCAGACTTACCGGTGAGGTTGGAGTGCTAGTTAGCAGCTACTGCTAATTAGCAGGCTACATTCAAAGCACCGATACATATACACATATGTTAATTTGTGCTAAGCAACAGACTAATAAAACACCAGAATTTCTTTTACCAAAAATGAAGCATAAACTTCCTGGACAGAAATTTGCGTAACATTTCAAAGGCTGTTTGACATATTATGTGATCCTTGATTATCTTTGATGAGCTGACACATCTAACAGTGTAAATCCAACTATAAAAATCTGAGTAAAATATATTACAAATTAAAAAAGGAAGCTTCATTATTCAACACGAAATAAAAAATGTAATACATTAGATCGTCTTTTGTCCATCATATTGTGTTAAATCGCTTAGAATATAAAACAAAAGTATAGAATTGAGTCGATACAAACTAGCCAGAATGTAGAATATGTTATATACATTTGTTATTTATGCAGGTCAAACGTTCAACTGTGAAGTCGTGATTTGCTATTTCCGATTGTCCATAAAAGCAGCAACAGCAGAGACGTGGCCGTCGTTGCGGCTGTTGCGTTCAAGTGGCGCAGTGTCCCGTCTGGAGGCAGAGCGGGCGAAGTTTCACTCTCTGCATTGCAGCCTGAGCGCTGCTGCTGGAATTCAACACAACAATGGCGACTCCCAGTCCTAACAGCAACTCCACTAGCTCTAGCAACAACAGCAACATCGTAGGATCAACGTCGCACCAACTCCACCAGCAAACACAGAGCAGCAGCATGCAAGGTAGGCGAGAACTGGCTCCAGTTCACAGTTTCATATTTCTACTGGGGACATAAGAGTTTGTAGGAAAGGGTAGCCTTTAGCTTCCTAAAAGCAGAAACACTGTAGCCAAGAGAAACCCAATAAGTAAGTCTTTTCGGTCAGAACTTTCAAAATAAATTATGTTACGCGGCCCATGTCTGGAAACGTGACCAATTTAATGCATCTGTTGCAGATGCTCCGCTTATGTTAATGCAAAATGCACACTTTTGCTAAAACAAGCCAAAATAGTGGCCGAACCGCCTTTTCTTTGAGTAAGGTCAATCTGTGCACCTATTTGGTTAATCATAATTAAAATTAAAATGAGCAGTTAGTGACAAGCATCACACATGTAAGTTTTTACATGTTAAATCAGATTTAAAAAAATATTCACACCATGTAGTTGATTAGCCTAAGCTAATCAAAGGCTTTACTGTAGGATCTGAGTAATTGTCTGTTGACAAGCAGCGCTTTTACTTTGACGTCTGACTTGTGAGACTTCCGCTAATTCTGTCTTTCTGCGCTTAGCTTCATCTCCATCTCCCTGAAACTGCACTGCTGCTAGGCTAGCAATAATGCACAAGCTTCAGTTTAATTGTTGTACCAACGGGCCTGTAATGGCATAGTCAAGTGTTTTCATTCCTGAAGTTTGAATCGTACATCTCGACTCTACCTTAAAAGTATTACGTTGTTTAAAAAAAAATGAGTTCTCCAACTATTTTAACTTTTTCGCCTTTGTTATTAGCAGAGGGCTGCTACAAGTAGCCTCAAGGCCTACACTGAAGTGTACTTCTGTCCCCGGTCAGGCCACTGTTTCAGTGCTTGGCTCCGAGTAGCAAAGAAATGATGGAGCTAATAAAGTTAAAGTTGGGGCTATCAATTCTATTAAGTGTCAACATTAAATTCTGTTGGCTTCAGGCCATACATAACGTTACGTGTCTTCCTTGTGTTGCTAACGGTAGTTCTGTCGGTGGTTTCATAACGTGTTGACACAAATCACCTCGATTTGTAAAATAAATTTAAAGTCTAAGCCTTTATATTTGTTAAGTGTACATCTCTATCTAGTTAATGCCTCTGAGCGCACACTGTCATCTCTTATCGGACAGGCAGACCTCGTGACAAAACCTGTAGTCAGCTAAGATTTGTTTTAGTGAGGTCAAACATTTTAATAATGTGCTGTGAGGAACAGAAACGTCTACTGAAACTTAATACATAAAATCAAATTTTCTTATTCTACATTAATCCACTGGGCATATAAAAGAGGATGATCGCAAGAGAGTCCTCAACGAATAGGAATAAAATCGCCAAAATAATTATTAACACTTGACAAAAATACTTAACTAAAAAAGGGAGACAACGTATTAGTTTAGTTTTTGCGAATGCAATATCGACATTATGTTAAAATTGAAGTAACAAACAGAACTTTTGTCCGTAGGGTTTTTCTTACAGGAAAAGCACCTTCTTTGACCTGAGGGTTTAGGCCTTGTCTTGCTTACTTCTGTTTACAAATTAGAATTATATTTCAGAAGCAAAGATAAATCACCACAGAAACCTTTGAATGTGTGTAAGGAGCGGTTGAAGGTAACTGCTGTCAGGAGTAAAGTTGCTCCTGGTGCTGTGGTATATGGAAGACTAACACCCCCCATATAAGTGTAATTACAATAGGAGGGGGGGGGGAAGTCAATTTTTGGGCTACAGCTCCATAGGATGCTATTTGTTCTGACTTGCTTGTCACCCCCTATGAAACCCTAAGTCCTCAGAGTAAGAGTTCTCCGCTATAGTTGAAATTCTGCAGATATACAGGGAGTCATGTAGTGACAGCTGATGGGTGTTTTGGGGGGTTAAATAGAATTCCTATTGTCATTCATAAACCTTGATTACACACACATGTAAAGTGCTTCACATACATTAAGCTGTGTTTTCTTCCAAGAGTTGTCATTTCATTGGAAAAAGCCAGCAGAGCAGGTTAGACAGACTTACATGTAATAATGGATGTGCTCATAGTATATCAGAAAGGCTTTACTCTGGATTTTATTGATTATTAAGCGCCTAATCTTAAGCCTCAACAGCCATATCTGACTTTGTAATTTCTTGCTCTGTGGCAGTATCAAATGTTTTATCTAAACCTTGCAGAAACCAACACCTGCTGGAGATGTCAAAATGAAACAGGTATTCAAACTTATTTTATAAGGTTTTAGTCTGATTTGGGGAAATTTCGTTTTTTGTTGAGTTGAAAAATTTTTTTTTATTATTATTATTTTTTTAAATTTTTAGGGCCAATCTTGGCAAAGGAATTTATTGAAATGTCCCCATCGCTTCCCTCTGTTGGTCTTTTTCTTTTGTTCGCATAAAGTTATTTTGTTTTCCATTTTTTCCATTTTTGTAATACCTGTAATTGTATCATCTTTTTTTCTGCATGTTTTCAACTGAGTTTCTATGCTAGAATGACCTGATGTAGACAGACCCCATTTGATGAGACACTGTTAAGTGTGATTTCCATTGTATGAAAGGTATACCAGCTTGGCTGTTGAAGTGGCACATGGCAGTTTTTAGTGGCTGGCCACTGTGAAACTGTGGTGTTCTGCTAAGCCAACAAAAAGAGAATATCAGTCTTGTTCCACTGGCAAATACCAGTCATCACTAGTGTGTTCATAGTATTTTACTACTGTCTGTTTATAAAGCTAACAAACATCGTAGCTTTTAGTATTAGTTTTATTTACCTCCACCCCACTCCCCATTGTGAGTAAATTCAACAGTTGCATGTAATTAACTTTATTACCAAGAATTTGCAGCATGAAATATATTTTTGTAATACAAACTGTTTTTGTTTGGGGTTTGTTTTTTTGTTTTTTTTGCTAAGACTGTTTTATCAGCTAGCTTTAACGTGTAGCCCTTTGTTTTATTTTTTTTCCCCACAAAAATGTAATTTTCTAAGATATTAGTTTATATACTTACATTTAAGGTACAATGGCAAACAGTGACATTGAGTTCGTTTTAATAAGCTGTATTTTGACTTTGTAGTGCTAAGCATACGTTAGCAAAAAGGGCTAATGCCAAACCAAGTATAGGAAACAATATAGTTTATTTTAATTTTACTGTCACTTTTTAATACAATCCACTTATTCTTCTATAGTACTTCATACACTGATGATACAGTATTCAACTTTAATAATAATCTTGGCAATATGGGAAAATTGAACCATTTGCTTTTTTGCCATATACTTTTAGTACTGCTAACAAGCTAGCAGCCAGCTAACCTAGCTTGGCACAACAATTGCTATCTATCTATTAGAGAGGTCACAGGAAGTAATTGCAAAAGCCTAAAACAGTTTTATATAGGCAGCAGTGACAAATACATGTAATTGATTATTGTTCTGGTGGTAGTATTTGCAAGTGGAACAGCAGAAAGTAGTGCTATATGCACAGTGCCACAAGACTGGCAGAACATTTTCAAACGTTTTCAAAATTGAAAGTAAGATGGTACTGAAATGACTGTTAAAATTGAACTATTTTGCCAGTAATACAGCAAATACTACATCGGTTATATATGGCAGTGCACTGAGCAAGACCCA